CCCACCACAACGCCTGTGTAAATTTTTTTTTTTTGTCATTGTTGTTTGGCGGCCCTGGGCTGGATTCAAACCCGCCACCTTAGGTGTATGTGGCTGGCGCCTTAGCCACTTGAGCCACAGGTGCTGAGCCGCTACCTCTGTTTTATATAATCTATGGTATATATACCAGGTTACCTTTCTGACCCTTGGATAATTAGAGGTTAGAGACCAGTAATGAGTCTTGGGATTAGTGCCACAAAGGGATTATAAATGAACAGCAGCAGGAGTTCCTGGGGTAACCTCATGCAGTGGTTGTGGAGGTTTCCCCTGAGGAGTGACACTCAGCTAAGACTTAAAAGATGAACTGTAAAAAAGGTATGAGCTTTGCAAAAGTCTTATTACATAGGAAATGATTCTCATTTATTTACTGGAATGGTTTCCATCTAGACTTCTGCTTAATGGAAATGGACAATCCTGCATTCATCCACGTGGCAAGGGCTGAGGATGACAGAAAGATGTAGTTGAGGGGAGGAGCTGGCCCCTGCCCTCAGGTGCTTCATGGGCCAGTAAAGAGCTAGGATAAGTCCAAAATTCTAGTCTAAACTTCCCGTCTGTGTGGAGAACACACTTCCACCCCCATTCCTAGGGCTTCTACTTCATAAACTCCTACTTGATTTCAGTGTACACACATATACTGAGTGCTTATTCTGAGTGGCGCTCTGTGCCAGAGAGTTGTACTCTAAGATGAATGAAATGTAGTCTGACTAGTAGACACAGTGCTAGGGAGGATTCTTTTGCAGCCATTAAAAACTGAGTATCAGGCCTACTGGAGACATGGTTGTACTCTAAGGAAAACTGAAAACAAAGACTTCTTTCCAGGTCTCTGGGAATCAAGAATGGAGCACAGAAGCCAGGCCTGGTCCCAGCTTTCAGGGGATTCCTGTCTTTGGCAGTCAGTGCTACAAAAGGCTCTCCTCCTACAACCTAGGTAACGTGAAGCACCTGGTTCTCTTCCTCCACGAAGCTGTTCTGGTGCAATACGTGGACACACTGAAGCTCGCAGTGCCCTCTCTCATCTATACCTTGCAGAATAACCTCCAGTATGTTGCCATTTCCAACCTGCCAGCTGCCACTTTCCAGGTGAGCCCCAAGCCCAGCGTGGCTCTAGAAGAACTGGCTGGGTTATGGGATAGAGTATGAGGGTTGGGGGGTGGGCACAGTTTCCTCATCTATGATAATTGAGGATGAAAATAGTAATACTGTACCTACTCATTGGGATGATTAAAAGAACAATACCTGTAAAGAACCCTTGGTTGGTGATAGATAAACTTTAGGCTTATTTAGGCTATTCCTGGAAGCCCTGTGAAATAAAGAGCCTAGATTCTGGGGCCAGGTCGACTAGGTTCAAATCTCAGGTCTTCTACTTTCCAGCTGTATGATTTGGGGGCTAGTCACTTAACTTCTGTGTGCCTTAGTTTTCTCATCTTTAAATGGGATATTACAGTGGTGCCTACTTCATATGTTGTAGTGAGAATTATTTCACACAGCAGCACATAGTAAGCACTGTGTAAATATTTACTGACTTTATTGTTGTGGTTGTTGATTCATTTCTTTTTTTTTTTTTTTTTTGAGACAGAGTCTCACTTTGTCACCCTTGGTAGAGTACTGTGGCATCACAGTTCACAGCAATCTCCAGCTCCTGGGCTTAGGCGATTCTCTTGCCTCAGTCTCCCAAGTAGCTGGGACTATAGGTGTGTGCCACAATGCCCAGCTATTTTTCTTGTTGTTGCAGTTTGGCCAGGGCTGGGTTTGAACCCGCCACACTCTGTATATGGGGCCGGTGCCCTACTCACTGAGCCACTGGCGTCGCACCCTGTTGATTTATTTCTATCAAGACCTCCCTCATCACAAAGGTTACGAACTTCTAGGCGTTTTATATACATCAGGCATACTTTATAGACAATGAAGGCACAGCTCAGACAGGGCACGTGCTTTGTCCCTGGTCACACAGTTAGGAAATGGGATTGGGATGTAGACTTCTGGCATAGCCATCCTTCTGTGCACTTTCTGGGAGAGACCTCATGGTTATTTAGCTGCAGTTTAGCCAGTGGCTAGTGTGGTTGGCTATTTTTGCTGTTCTTATTGTCATCTGCACCACCTTGTGTTTCTGTTGTGCCGGGGGACCCACAGTGGGTGCTTCCCCAAGTGTACCTGTTGAGGGGGGGTCAGCCCTCAGTGCCTTCCACATGCCACTCACAGGTGACGTACCAGCTGAAGATCCTGACCACAGCACTGTTCTCCGTACTCATGCTGAACCGCAGCCTTTCCAGGCTGCAGTGGGCCTCCCTGCTGCTCCTCTTCACTGGTGTCGCCATTGTCCAGGCACAGCAAGCCGGTGGGGGAGGCCCACGGCCACTGGATCAGAACCCTGGGGCAGGCCTAGCAGCTGTTGTGGCCTCCTGTCTCTCCTCGGGCTTCGCAGGTGTCTACTTTGAGAAGATCCTCAAAGGCAGCTCAGGATCCGTGTGGCTGCGCAACCTGCAGCTAGGCCTCTTTGGCACAGCACTAGGCCTGGTGGGGCTGTGGTGGGCTGAGGGCACCTCTGTGGCTCGTCGTGGCTTCTTTTTTGGGTACACACCTGCCGTCTGGGGCGTGGTGCTCAATCAGGCCTTTGGTGGCCTGTTGGTGGCTGTTGTTGTCAAGTATGCTGACAACATCCTTAAGGGCTTTGCCACCTCCCTGTCCATTGTGCTGTCCACTGTTGCCTCCATTCGCCTCTTTGGCTTCCATGTGGACCCATTATTTGCCCTTGGCGCTGGGCTTGTCATTGGTGCCGTCTACCTCTACAGCCTTCCCCGAGGTGCAGCCAAAGCCATAGCTTCTGCCTCTGCCTCCATCTCCACCTCTGGGCCCTGCATTCACCAGCAGCCTCCAGGGCAGCCACCGCCATTGCAGCTGTCTTCCCACCGTGGAGACCTCATCACGGAGCCCTTTCTGCCAAAGTCAGTGCTGGTGAAGTGAGGGCTGGTGGTGGTGGTGGTGGGGCAACAGGGAGGGGACTGGGTGAAGGGTGTTGGGCATCTCCAGGACTTAAGTTGCCACGGGGGCCTAACTTCTTTGGACTTGGGGACAGTCTTTTCTCCCAGGTCACTGAGACTTTTGGAGGGACTAGGGCCAGGTGTCACATGAACCCTCCCTGGTAGGTTGACACCCCCTCCCCTGGAGGAGTTTTTAGAGCTGCCTCTTCTGCCTCACTCTAACCTCTTTGGGAACAGGGTTGGGGGTATTGTCATTCAAGGCCTTTTTTGTCTGTCCCTTGCTGGAGGTGTTCTGTCTCTTGCCTAAGAGAGTCCTTCCCAGAAATCCCTCCACCTCTGTCAGGACAGACTGGACAGAAATCCTGAAGCTCTTGAGTAATGATGAATTCCTACCTTTGGGGTTATATCCCATAGTTTGAGGCCTTCTCTCCTCCCTCACCACACTAAATCATGTTAGCAGTTGGGTCTGCTGTGTGGCCTTGAGGCAGCTTCCCTGACACCAAGACCCTTAGAGAACCTTGAAGATAGGCCTCTTTCAAGTGCTCAGGGAGAGAGAAAGGGGTGAAAGCTGGCTGGTTGGCAGAAGGTACCATAGGGGCCATTTTTTTTTAGTGGTTTGGGGATTTGGGGTATAATCAGATCATCAATGATCCAGGGTATAGGAAAAGCAAGGAGAGGTCCTTGAAATGGCTAAGTCTCATTGAATTTAAGTCACTGTCAGTTGCTGGATGCAGGGTTATTTTCTGAGACATCCTGAGGGGAAAATAAAGCTGCCAATCACTCTTGATGCCCTATTGGCTGTATAAGGCACCCTTACTTCACGGGAAGGGGTTATATTAGAATTGATGAAATGTGGAACCTGCCCCCTGTGCTCCCCAAAGCTTATTAACTCCTTAACTGTATCCCAGGGTGGGGGCTGTGTGTGTGCATGGGAGATGCCTGGGTTGTCTTTGCTATATGTAAATAGGGCCACTGGATCTTTATTTTTGATTAATTTGTTCTGATTTTTTGGTTTGTTTTCTAAGGAACTGTAATGAACAAATGTCAGGATACCCAATGCCAAATAAAGATGTTGTATTTATTTAGTCCACGTGTAGCTTTCTGACCCAGGGGACCCGCGGTTACTAACCACAGAACTACCAGCCTCATTACCACCGCCCTCGCTTGCTCAGGAAACCCACCTGTCAGCCTACCCCAGCTTTCTGTGTTTTTCTTTCCTCTCCATTCCCACCACAGGTTGCTCACCAAGGTGAAGGGTTCGTAGCTGCTGGCATTGAAGACGTTGGCCTGGCCTCGCTCTCCCTTCTTGCCCTGGCCCAGCTGAGACCAGACACTCTGATCAGTATTAGGGGTAGGGAGAGGTAGTCACTGAACTCCCTGTCCCCCCACCCCACCCCACCCCATCCCATCCAGGGCTAACATAACTAAATTCTCTCTAGTAATGACCTCAGCCCCTACTACCCGCACACAATTTCTTAGGTGAGTTTTTGCAAATAAAATGTGTTACATCATGCTGGCTTGGAAACCCTCAAAAGAATGAGGGAAGGAAGGACGTGCTCAGGCCTTATGGACATGATCACAGAAAAGCTTTTATTAAAAATTCTAGGCCTGGAGAGGGCGACGATTCAGTCTTGCTGCTTGGTTCGGGAGGCCTCAGCATTGGCCCGGAGCACAGCTCCAGGGGATGGGTAGGGACGCTGCTGGAAGAGGGGCCCAGCTGCTGTAGTGTCAGCACCCGTCTTAGCCTCATTCCGCTTAGGGAGTCCTGTTGACCATGTGCCCCTGTGGGTGACAGAGTGTTGGAGAGGGATGTGGTGGTGGTCACTGCCCTCTAGGCCCAACTGAGGAACAGGGGAAGGTGGCGGGAGGAGGGCCATGGTGTTTACCTATGTAGTGAGGAGCATGAGGAAAAAGAGCTCATGAGTGGCTATCACTTAATTTTCACTTACCGGGGTGCATCCGAGTATGAGCTGGGGTCCATTGGGTCTAACTCTTCATCCTTTCGGTTTACCACTGTGGAAGTAAGTGTCAGGGTGAAGTCTTCAATCAAGGCCTGAGAAGCCCCTGATCACTGAGCCCCATGCCCCAGGAAGACACGGAGCCTGTGGCTGCTACATACCATAGCACTCTTCTCCCAGCTTAGGTCCTAGGAGGGAGGGCTTCCTTACACTGAGGGTACCCTGGGACCTCACTTGCCTCACTTGAGCCCCAGCCTGCTCTTCTTACCCTTCTTGCTCTTTGGGTAGGGAGCCAGCTCCTCTCGGCGATGGTGGCGCCGTTCTTTGCCCTCTTCCCGGTCTGCCTTGTCATAGCCGCGGTCCCGATCCCGTTCCCTGTCCCGTTCTCTCTCTCTGTCCACTTTGTCATAGACACGGTCTCGATCTCTGTCAGACTTGTCGTGGCCCCGGTCTGACTTGTCGTGGCCCCGGTCTGGCTTGTCATGGCCCCTGTCGGTCTTGTCATGGCCCCGGTCCAACTTGTCATGGCCACGGTCTGACTTCTCCTCAGCATCTGGGACATGAGTCTTGAAATGATCTTCTCCCACCCCAGGAATCTGTAGCCTCTGCTTTCAGCAACCTCCCTTGCCTGGTATCACCTACCCCTCCTTGATCCTCTATGATATACTTGGCCTCTCTCTGAGAACTGTTAGAATCACTCAAGGCACCCTTGAATCTGCCAACTCACCTGCATTACTGCTCCTGAGCTTCTTGGCAGATTTGGTAACGATGGAGTTGGGGTCATGTGGGGAGAGCCAGGACACGAGGTCTGTGTCTACATTCCAGTAGTAAGGGAGCCCACTGTGGGGCAGTGGAAAGGAAGGAGTGTCAGCACAGTTGTCCTCTTTGTATCTTCAACTCTTAGCTCCCCAATCTCTGCCTATACCTACTTTATGTCAGGTCCCCACAGAGAAGATCCCAGATCTCTTCTCCTGTGTCCCCCCATGTAGCCATGGTGAGGATCAACACAGCAAGGGTAAAGTCAGAAGTCAGTTCCCTACCCCTCCCCAGGTCCCTGGGCTTACCAAGAAGGGTCGAACACCTTGTACCAGCTTGGTGGCAGGCCTTCCAACCGAGTGGCCTCGTAGTCCACAGGATCATCATCATAGTCCTCAGCGATGATCTCTTCCTCTGGTTCTGGCAGAATAAGGCCAGGGGAAGAGGAGAACAGGTAAGGACCAGTAGTGTTCATCCACTCCCTACGGGCCCTGAAGAGACATGCACGCTCATGTTCCCACAAATGACATGTAGAAGATATGTATACATACACACACCAAGAAACACATTAAGTATCCCTCACATTCCAAATCCAACTCTATCTGTATTAGAGGATTTATAAAAACATTTACTTATATGTGTCTGTGGGTTCAGATGAAGAATTATGCTGTTATCTAGACCTATCTGGTTTCACAGTTGATAGAGATTCATCAAAAATCTTATCCAGGCTCGGCGCCTATAGCTCAACCGGCTAAGGCGCCAGCCACGTACACCTAAGGTGGCGGGTTCGAATCCCCAGCCCGGACCTGCCAAA